AAGAATATTAAAAAAACAGAATATATATATGTATAAACGAATCCCTTTGCTGGACAGTAGTAATTAACACAACATTGTAAATCAACTATACTTCAATAAGAAAAGCAAAAAACAAAAAACTTTGGGGCAAAAGGAAAAGATAAGAATTTATAACTTATTTTTTAAATATTTATTTATTTTGACTGCACCGGGTCTTAGTTGTGGCGTACGTGATCTTTAGTTGTGGCATGCGGGCTGCTTAGTTGCGGCAAGTGGACTACTTAATTGCAGCATGCAAACTCTTACTTGTGGCATGCATGTGGGATCTAGTTCCCCAAACCAGGGATCAAACCCGGGCCCCTTGCATTGGGAGCACAGTGTCTTACCCACTGGACCACCAGGCAAGTCCCTTTTATAACATTTTTTAAAAAACATCTGAGCAATCTCATCTAATGAATAGAAAACAAGCAAAATCTCAGAATTAAATACTTTCATTCCTACATAAGAATAAATTAATGATCCAAGCATGCAACTTAAAAAATAATATAACAAGTCTAAGGAAAACAGAAATAAAACATTAATACAAACAAAAGTAGAACGAATCAGACAACTGAAAGAACTGAGTGAATAAATCTAATAGCTGATTCTGTGAAAAAATACACAAACCTCTGTCAAGGTAATCAAAAGAGAAAAAATAACTAATACGAAATAAAAATGGAGAAAAAAATAGATCCCAAAACAGAGTAACTCATATGCTAAAATAGTTCAAAGACATAGGGACAAATTCGTAGGAAACAATAAATTACCAAAACTGACTCAAAAAGACACAGAAAATGGACATTTAAAATGCCCCAAAAAGGGCTTCCCTGGTGGTGCAGTTGTTGAGAATCCGCCTGCCAATGCAGGGGACACGGGTTCGAGCCCTGGTCCAGGAGGATCCCACATGCCACAGAGCAACTAAGACCATACGCCACAACTACTGACCCTGCACTGTAGAGCCTGTGAGCCACAGCTACTGAGCCCATGTGCTGCAACTACTGAAGCTTGCATGCCTAGAGTCCGTGCTCTGCAGCAAGAGAAGCCACCACAATGAGAAGCCCGCACACCGCAACGAAGAGTAGCTCCCACTCGCCGCAACTAGAGAAAAGCCCATGCGCAGCAATGAAGACCCAACACAGCCAAAAATAAATAAATAAATTTATAAAAATAAATAAGATGCCCCCAAAAAAGTTGGGTCCAGCCAATTTTATTGATAAGTTCTATCAAAAATAGATCATTCCTCTACAAATTTGAAAATGAAAGTAAAATAGCAGTCTAGTAATTGCTAATGAAAAGACTATTTTGTACTTACTAAGAGTTGGCTTGCCAGTCTCCAATAAGACAAAAATATTGTCATGTGATACTGTCTTTTACAAGTAACATAGAATTTAAGAGTAATTTTTATTATATACACTTTTCACTTTAGGTTCTAAATTTAGAACTCCCACATTAAGATGAGGTTCCACTGTTGGGCAGCATCAAGCAAACCAGATTTTATCTGCAGGTATTGTTCTTGGCCCTCACTGCTTCTCTTCAGCTAATCCAGCCTGTTTCTCTTGAATGCGTTTTCTTTCTACTCTTCATCGGTATACATCCCACTCTCCAGAACCTGCCATACATTTGAGGATGAACTTCAGCATCTCCAGCAGTAAAGCATCTTTCATGGAATTGTCCTCTTTTCTTTCATTCCTATTTTATCAGTTAGTATCATTTTCCCAAAGACATACAACCCCATCCACATCATTCTGTATCGATTAAGTTAGTAAGTACAGGGGCTTCCACCCTCTTGCAACAACTTAGAATTCAAAATAGTTTACTTGGTTTCAAGAAAATGGAAGCAACAAGATGAAATCTCCCTGCTTATATAAAACTCAGAGAAGTTAACTCCAAAACATGAAAGAGAGCTCTCCTTGACGTAGAGGCTGTAATAAGGAATCCCAGATGAAAAGAGTAAAGAGGAAGTCTTGGAAATAAGGCAAATCTGTCCCAACTAGCCACCCTCTATGACAGGGAGCTGCCCCAGCAAGCTACTCATTCAGATAATTTGCACTTGGAACACAAGAGAATACACTGCATAAGTACACCATCTTCAAAGAAATGAAGATCTATATATCCAAAGAGAACAAAGTTAAAGGACCAAACAGGAAAAAAAAAACCTTTAAATAAGAATACTTTGGAGCCTCAGAGAAATAAAAGCAGGAATCATATCCAAAACTTAAGAAAGGGAGATTTTATTAAAAAGAAGGTTGTGATAAATGAGCAGTTGTGAAACAAAGCTAACGTACAAATCAGTGAAATGTAAAACAGAACTGAGGCATTCTCCTAGAACACAGCACATAAAAATAAAAGTGCAGAGAAAAAAAAGACATTAGCAACAGATCCAAGAACCCCAATATTTAGAATATAAGAGGAAGGTAAAATAGAAGAGAAGCAATATCTGAAGAAATAATGGCTAAGAATGTCCCAGAGTTTAGGACAACAGTCCTCAGACTGAAAGCACCCACTGAGGGCTAAATGAGATAAATAAAAGAAAACCCACACTTAGGACTGTTGGAAAACGTTGAAAACAAAAATAAAGAGAAAACCCTAAAAGTTACTGACAGAAAAGATTAAGAATAGAGATTGATATTAGACCTCTCAGTAACCATGGGCACACTACAACAGTGGGGAAATAACTATGAATCTCTGAGGAAAAATAACTGACTTTAACATTTCCCAGCAAAGCTGTTCTGAAACAGTACCCGTTTACTTGGTAGTCTTCCTCCATCAGACCATCAGTACCTTGAAGACAGGTGCTCTGTCTTGTGCACTGGCAGTATATTAGTGGCAATCTAGGCAACTTCATGTAAATACCTGACAAGTGTTCACTTCAGAGAAATTCAGAAAACCTTCAGTTACTCTCAGGTTTCTGCATGTCCCTTCTCTCTCCTCTCTACTGCTCAATTTTATCAAAGCATTTCATAAGCCAGTAGGGGAGAAAAAACCACACAGCATTCATAAAGCTAAGAATCCAAACTGTAGTTCAGAATTCCACCACATATTAATAACTGGCAATGTATGAATCAAAACAGATGTAATAAATGTAGTCAGAATTAAATTACATATTTTTTAAGTTACACATTTATACTCACTGAAGAGAAGGGACCCTCATTTTATAGACTATTTGATATGTTCTCAAAACATGAATAACTGTTTACTCTTGTAAATACAATAGTATAAAAACAAAGTTCTATTTCTTTTAAAAACCGTTACTCACTGGTATAAGGATAAACATACAACGTATGTGTTTCTAGACTAGAATTGAGAATCCAATCTTACTTTTTACTACATACATTATGGTCAATTAATTTTCAAAAAAGGTGCTAAGACAATTCAACAGGAAAGACTAGTCTTCTCAACAAATGGTACTGAAAGAACTAGACATCCGCATGCAAAAGAATGGGGAAAACTACCACCCACCATACAAAAAAATCACCTAAAAATGGATCATAGACCTAAATGTAAGAGCTAAAACTATATAACTCTTAAAAAAAATTTATGACCTAGAAATTAGGCAATGGTTTCTTACATATGACACCAAAAAAAAGAAAAAAAAATTCAACTACATCAAAATTTAAAATTTCTGTGCTACAAGAATGCGGTCAAGAAAGTGAAAAGACAACTCACAAAATGGAAGAAAATATTCGCAAATTACCTGAAAAAGGACTTGTACCCAGAATATATGAAGAACACTTACAACTGAATAATAAAAAGACAAACCATTTAAAGCATAGGAAAAGGATATGCTGATCAGACATTTCTACAAAGATATACAAATGGCCAATAAGCACATGAAAAGATGCTCAACATCATTAGTCACTAGGTAAATACAAATGAGGGCCACAATGAGATACCATTTCACCCTTAGAATGGCTATAATCAAAGACAGAGTCCCAAGATGGCAGCCACCATGAAGTTGACTACACAGATGTCAATGTTACATCTGAAGATCAACAAAAGATAAATGTGCACAGAATACAAGTAGAATCACACAGTTAAAGGAAGAAACAGAATTAAAAAAGAAACAGCTCCAAAATTTAGGAGATGCTTGTGAGGATATCACACTTGCAGATGACAACTGCTTAATGATATCTCATCAGATTAGTGATGTTTTCATTAGCCATTCTCAAGAAGAAACTTCAAGAAATGTTAGAAGAAGCAAAGAAAAATTTCCAAAAAGAAATTGATACTTTAGAATCCAGAGTGGAATCAATGCAGCAGGTGTTAGCAGATTTGAAAGTTCAGTAATATGCAAAATTGGAGAACAGCATAAACCTTGAAGCAGAAGAACGCTAAACATTTTACAATACTTTTAAAATGTTGCTCAACACAGGTTACCATGTGACAGAGCAATCCACTCATAATCAAGAGAAATGAAAACAACTCATCTGCACAAAAACTTGTGCTTGAGTGTTCATAGCAGCATTATTCATAATAGCTAAAATATGGAAACAATCCAAATGTCCATCAACTGATGAATGGATAAACAAAACACAGTATATCCATACAATGGACTATTATTCATTCATACAAAGGAATGAAGTATTGAATCATGCTACAACATGGATGAATGTAGAAAACATTATGCTAAGTAAAAGAAGCCAGTCAGCAAAAAGACCACGTACTGTATGATCCCATTAATATGAAATGTCCAGAATAGGCAAATCTGTAAGACAAAAAGTAGATTAATGGTTGCCTAGGGCTGGAGGTGGGAAAGGTATAAGGAGTGACTGCTAATGAGTATGAGGTTTCTTCTTGGGGGGCAGGGGAATATTCTGAAATTAGACCGTGGTGATGGTTGCACAACCTTGTGAATATAATAAAGACCATCTAATTGAACATGTTAAAAGGGTGAATTGTACGATAAATGGATTATATCACGATAAAGCTGCTAATATATATATATATATATATGACATAAAACAATCTCTCTTCTGTCTTACCTTTTAAGGGCATCTTTGAGTTCAGGTACAGAACGAATACACTGAACTGTAGCATTCATGTAACAAGTGTTACCAAGGTTTGTCAATCCACATGGTAATTCCATCTGATAAGGAAAAGGATTAAATCATTTTTAAAAGATGACACAGCATATATAAATCACTAAACACACTGAAGCAAATACAATTTACCAACTCATACCAATTTATTCTACCTTAACAATGTTTTATTTCCCTAACAAAAAATTTTACTTGCATCATGCGGACAATCATCCTGTTTTAATTCCCTTCTTAAAAATAATAAGAAAACAATCATATCAGTTCTGCCTCATCTGCAGGTTTATCACTGGAAGAGGGTAACAAAATATATACAGAAACACTTCAAAAAAATGAATGGTACTATATAAATGCTGGGTAGTAAAAATAATGATAATATTTGACAAGTGTTTGTTGGCCAGTTTCTAAACCAACACTGCATTTAAATTAAGGATAAATTGTATATTTTCAACATGGAAGGTTTTAAGAATTTAAATATCCCAGCATTTAAACTATTTAACTTCTTTGAGCCTGTTTTCCCATAAAATAATAGTAAACATTTAAATAGCACTATCTGCCAGACACATATTTATTACAGATATTCACTGACTTTATAATGAATTATTCAATTAAAAAAGGATTCCTTGAGCCAATTTCAAAGATAAAACTTTTATTTACTGCTAATAACATACATCTTAATATTGATTAAATCTTCAAAACATGTAGATGCTTTCTGAAAGGCATCTTACTAACTGTACTTCTTAAAAGTAGTGATCAAATATATAAAATGTGGTATGTCTTACAGCAGATGCTAACTGTTCTTCTGTCATGTCTTCTACGAAGACAGTTTTAGCTGAGGGCTCCTCAGGAAGAGCATCTGCTGACCCCATCATTAGTAAAGTCATTCCCTGTTTAAAAAAAAATTAATTTCATGAAAATGCTGAAAAGTTGATCACGTTTATGTGCAATGAAAGAAGCCAGACACAGAAAAACACATGTTGCATGCTTCTATTTGCTAGAAAAGGTAAATCTAGAGAGACACAAAGTAGATTAGTGGTTGCTAAAAATGAAGGTGAGAATAGGGAGTGTCTTTAAATGGGAACTCATTTCTTTCTGGGGTGATGAAAATATTCCAAAATGAGACTGTGGTGAAGGTTACGCAACTCTGTAAATACATTAAAGATCACTGAACTGTTAAAAAAAAAAAAAAAAGTACTAGGGTGGCTGCCTCAGGCCACAGGTCACCTGCTTATCTGAAAAGGGGTATAAGGAAACTTCTTAGAATAGTGGAGCTTCTTTATCTTGACTGTGGTAGTGGTTTCATGACTGTATAAAGTTAACCAAATCCATCAAACTCTTACACTAAAGTAGGTGAATCTTACTCTCTATATACTATACGTCAATAAAGCTAACAGAAAAAACACAGTCACAAAGAAAGCTGAGAATGTTTTCAATATTGGAAAGGAGAGAATTCTTCAAATGATCATTAATATTTTGTGGCATCACTTCTCCCCATAACACAGTACGCACTGATAAGATTCTTTCTATGAAAGTCTATTGTGAAATGTAACCATTATTTACATTTGAATAGAAATATTTTGAAAGCATTGAAATCTCCATTATTAGAAAATATCAAACCAAACATATAAATTAGTTCAAAATATCTAATTGTATAATTCTACACATTATTAACTTAAGGGAATACTTATATTCAGTACAGATACACCATTCCATACAACAGAAGAACAATGGAGACACTGTCACCTTAAGTCTCATAATCCTGAAATGTGAACATCTTATTCAATATCTTTCTGGAAGACAAAAACATCTGAGACAAAGACAGAGGGTAGAGAGGTTTAAAAGAAAAAAAAAGGCCAGAAGGAGAAATTTTTTTTAAAAAAAAGGACAATAAAATAAAAATATCTAGACGAAGATTAAAATTAGTAAATTAATAAGGTCACCAAACTCAGTCTTATGAGTACCTATGTTCAAATCCAACAATCTTCATTCTATCACCTATTATTTTTATTTAAACTTTCTATAAGATAACAGCAAAGCAGTACTAAGCTATCACTAAAGAATCTTTCTTAAAAGACAACTGTCGGGCTTCCCTGGTGGCGCAGGGGTTAAGAATCCACCTGCCAATGCAGGGGACAAGGATTCGAGCCCTGGTCTGGGAAGATCCCATATGCCCCAGAGCAACCAACACTGTGTGCCACAACTACTGAGCCTGCGCTCTAGAACCTGTAAGCCACAACTACCGAGCCCGTGTGTCACAACTACTGAAGCCCGTGTGCCTAGAGCCTGTGCTCCGCAACAAGAGAAGCCACCGCAGTGAGAAGCCCACGCACCGCAACGAAGAGTAGCCCCCACTTGCCACTACAGAAAAGCCTGCATGCAGCAACGAAGACCCAACACAGCCAAAAATAAAATAAATAAAATAAATACATTTATTAAAAAAAGACAACTGTCTCAGGAAAACCAAATATCTGAGGAATATACTAGCAACAGTCAGAAAATACAACAGAAAAGAAAGAATACCAACAAATATCTAAGAGTAAACATAACAAGAAATATGTAATACTTTAATAAGAAAACTATAAAGCTTTACTTAGGGATATTAAAAAACACCTAAAGAAACTGAAGGACATGAAAGATTTCTGGAATAGAAAAATTATGTAAAGATGTGATTCCAAACTATCAAATAAATTTAACAAAATTCCTTTCTGAAACTTTACAAAATGTTTCATTCATGTAGCAAATTCATACCCATGACAACAGCTAAGAAATTTCTGAAAAAGAAGACTAAAAACAATACCTTTAAAATTATTAAGAAAATAGATTACAAAATGAAGAATGTTGAGGACAATAATTTAGAAAAAAAATACTTTGAGTTCTCCACCTCATGATATGCCACACCCAAAATGAATTAGAAACTGAAGATTTAAACGTAAATAAAATGAAACAAATAATTACAAAACATTTGTTTATTTTCTAAAAAGTCTTACTGTTTTTGGAAGATTTTCTAAAATTGACATAAAAGATGAAAGGACTCATGTCTCTAGTATATAACTATATAAATCTTAAAAACTTGCCCATTACCACAATCAAAATTTTAAAGGACAAACTTAAAAAAAAAATCACTATATATAGGCACAATAGAAAAACAGGCAGTAGAGATAAGTAGAAAGCCAACAAAAAAGGCTTAAAATTAAATTAAATATGCTTCCACCTTAAGAAGCTAGCAGAAGTATATATTAAAATCAAAGTAAAAGGAGGAAATGAAGCAAAGAGGGGAAATCAATAAAATAATAAATGAACAAGCAAAAGTTAACTCTTTGGACTGGGGAGAAAAAAATATCAATGAAACTTTACAACCTCTGCCTAGATGATAAAGACAATAAGCAAGAAATCACAATTTGCCAATACGGGGGCTGGGGGAGGGGTGGAACGACAGAACTACAGATTCTAGAATCTGTAGGATATCCTGTAAGAATGTATGTAGTATGACAATCAATCCAACAATTTAAACTAAACAGACCAATTCCTTAAAAGACACTACCAAAACCGGTGTAAAGAAAATATAACATCTGAATAATCCTACATTTATTAAAGACTCTAAATTCTGAATTAAAAGTCTTCCCACCAAGAAAGCTCCAAGCCCAGAGAACTACACTAGAGAATTCTATGAGACACTAATATGTGTGTGTGTGTGTGTGTGTGTGTGTGTGTGTGTATATATATAAACTCTTTCAGAAAAGAGGAGAGGTATGAATGCTTCATAACTCATTTTTTTTCATAACTCATTTTATACGGTCAGCATTACACTGATAGCAAAAATCAAACAAAGACAGTTCAAGAAAACTACAAACCATCTCTCACAAAGAGACACAAAAATACTTAACAAAATACTACCAACAGAATCCACGTTATATAAAAAGGAAAATATATAATGACCAAGTGGTTTACTATTTCGAAAAAGGCAGTGTAGTTCATCACATTGAGATTAAAGGATTTAAAAAGAAAAATTTCAATATATATAGAAAAAGTATTTGCCAAAACTCAACTCCCATTCATGATAACTCTCAGCAAACTAGAAATAGAAGAGAACCTTCCTCAACCTGATGAACATCTGTAAAAAACCTGTACAACATCTGTAAAAAAGGGACCAAAATACTACAATGGGCAAAACTACCCTATATATGTGTAGCTGTAGTCTCAAAAAAGAGGAAAGAGAAGGACAGACAGAAAAAATATCTAAAGAAATAGCTAAAGATTTTCTAAATTTAATAAAAACTATAAACACAGAGATCCAAGAGGTTTAAGCAGAATAAACATAAAGAAAACCTGACCAAAACAAATTGCTGAAAACCAATAATGAGAAAAATCTCAAAAGCACCCAGGGAAAAAAGGACACATTACATGCAGAGGAACAATGATAAGAATGACAGCAACTGTACAAATGAGAAGACATCTTTCAAGTACTGAAAGAGTGTTAATCTAGAATTTAATACCAATCAAAAATGTTTTTCAAAAATGAAATGAAACCAAGAGTTTTTCAGAAAAACAAAAGCAGAGAAAACTCATAGACAGGCTCTGCAAAAAATGTAAAAAGGAAGTTCTCCAGGCAGAAGAAAATGATACCAGATGGCAATTTGGATCTGGATCCAAAGGAAGAGCACCAGAAATGGTAAATATGGGTTTTCTACGTTTTTTAATCTCTTTAAAGGATAAATGACTATTTAAAGCAAAAGTAGCAATGTAGAAAGTAAAAATAATAGCAATGTAGTATGGAGTTTCTAACAGGTAGAAGTAAACTATATGTATGTATGACAACAACAGCACAAAGCAGGGAAATGGAAATACACTGTTGTAATAGTCTTATACTATGCCTGAAATCACTCGTTATAGATACATAATATAAACCTTACAACAGCAATTCAGAAACATCAAACATCATCACAGGACCCTTTATACCAACGGTTGGCAAACTTTTCCTATTAAAGGCCATATAATAAATATTTTAGAATTTCTGGGCCACATACCATCTTTGTTGCATATTCTTTGTTGTTTTCAACCCCACCCCTTTAAAAATATAAATATCATTCCTAACTTGCAGGCCTTACAAAAACAGGCTGCAGGCCAGATTTGGCTCAGAGTTCACAGTTTGATGACTCCTGCTTCACATTCTTAAAAATTGAGAACTTCTGTTATGTAGTTCTCAATATTTACCGTATTAGAAATTAAAACTGAGAAATTTTAATAATATTCATTCAAAAACAATAAACCCACTTAATGTTAAGATTAACATTTTTATGAAAGATAATTATATTCTCAAAACAAAACTAGTGAAGACTGATATTGTTCTACATTTTTTCAAATGTCTTTAATGTTTGGCTTAAGAGAAAACAGTGGATTTTCATATTTGTTTCTGTATTCAATCTGCTGCAGTATCACATGTCCCACAACCTCTGAAAAATTACTGTACATAATCAACAACAGAAAAGGCAAACAAAATCTTAATGTCAACATGGAAATACATTTTTAAAATATGAAAACAGTTTTGATCTCAAGGATTCCTTGAAAGAGTCCTGGGTACTGCCTGGAGTTCCCGGGGTACACTCAGAGAACTGTTACCCTAGAGAAATCATTAAAACTCTGGGAATGGAGGGGAGAATGGAAAATGACTGTTAATGAACACAGGGTTTCTTTTTGGATAACGATATGTTTTAAAACTAGACAGTGTTGACAGTTGCACAACTCTATGAATATAGCAGAACACACTGAAATGAACATTTTAAAGCGCTGAATTTCATAGTCAGTGAATTTTCTCAGAAAACTTATAAAAGCATAAATAACAAAACAGAGATAAAGCAAAGTCAGAGATAAACACAAAATTAAAAATAATCGAAAAGAAGGCAGCAAAAGAACAATGAGACAGAAAACAAATACCAAGATGGTAAATTAAACCCAAACATGTAGATAATAACACTGAACATAAGTGGTCTAAAGGTTCCAATTACAAAGTAGAGATTGTAAGACTGGATAAAAAAGCAAGACCCAAGTATATGCTAACCTAAAAAACTCCATTTTAAACAAAGACACAGATGTATTAAAAGCAAAAGGATGGGAAAATGCATGAAATGCAAACAATAATTAAAAGAAATATGGCGTAGCTTTATTAAAGTCAAAGTAAAACTGAGAGCAAAGAATATTACCAAGGATAAAGAGGGACAGTTCACTGTGATGAAAGGTCAATTCATCAAGATTTAACGATCCTATATATGCATGCACCTAATAACAGAACTTGAAAATACACAAAACAAAACTGATACAACTGAAAGGAGACATAATCAAATCCACAATAATAGTTGGAGATTACAACACGCTTGATAAAAGAAGTAGACAGGGCTTCCCTGGTGGCGTGGTGGTTAAGAATCTGCCTGCCAATGCAGGGGACACGGGTTCGAGCCCTGTTCCGGGAAGATCCCACATGCAGCGGAGCAACTAAGCCCGTGCGCCACAACTACTGAGCCTGCGCTCTAGAGCCTGTGAGCCACGACTACTGAAGCCCACGTGCCTAGAGCCTGTGCTCCACAACAAGAGAAGCCACCACAATGAGAAGCCCGTGCACCACGACAAAGAGTAGCCTCTGCTCACCACAACTAGGGAAAGCCTGCACCCAGCAACGAAGACCCAACGCAGCCAAAAATAAATAAATAAAATAATTCCAAAAAAAAAAAAGGTAATGGGTTTGCTACTGCTACTTTTAAATGAATAATGTTTAATTTCTCAGCCTTAATTTCAAATACAATAAATATCGACGTAACCCATATATATGAAATTCTTTGGGGTTAAAAAATAATTTTTGAGGGCTTCCCTGATGGCGCAGTGGTTGGGGGTCCATCTGCCGATGCAGGGGACATGGGTTCGTGCCCCGGTCTGGGAGGGTCCCGCATGCCGCGGAGTGGCTGGGCCCGTGAGTCATGGCCGCTGAGCCTGCGCGTCCGGAGCCTGTGCTCCGCAACGGGAGAGGCCACAACAGTGAGAGGCCCGCGTACCACAAAAAAAAATGATAATTTTTGAGAGTGTAAACAGGTCACAAAGACCAAGAAATCTGAGAACTGCACATGCCAAATATGCAAGGTTTAATAGTTAAAAATCAATGAGACTAGCCAGATTACCAGAATAAAAGAGAAAAATCATATGATCCTTTTAATCAGCAGAAAAGTACTTAAAATTCAAGAGCCATTCATAACTTAAAAGGTCTTAGTGAACTAGGAAATGACAAAGATGTCCACTCCCACCACTTTCTATTCAATGCTGTATTAGAAGTCCTAGCCAGTAAAGTAAGGCAAAAAAAGAAATAACAGCCGTAAAGACTGGAAAGGGAAAAGTAAAACTGCCTCTATTTGCAAAGAGCATGCTTACGTACATAGAAAACCCAATGGAATCTACAAAAAAACTACTGGAACTAGAAAGTGAATTTGGCAAGGTCACAGGGTAAAAATAAACTGTATTTTTATAATCTAGCCATGAACATTGGAAAACAAATTTTTTTAAAAGTATCATTAAATAGCCAAGAAATGTTAAGTTCCAGAGTCTAACAAAAATCGTGCAAGCTCTCTATACTGAAAAATTATAAAACTGAGCTAAGAGAAATGGAGAAGTACACCTTATTTAAGGATTTCAGTACTCAATACCTTTAAGATGTTCATTCTCCCCAAACTGAACTACAGATTCAATGCAACCTAAACAAAATTCCAGGAGTCCGTTTGCTGGAATTGGCTAATTCTAAAATTATAAGGAAATGCAAAGGAGTTAAAATATTCTTGAGGAAACAGAAAAAGTGGGAGAACTTACATTATCTTATTTCAAGACTTATTATAAAGCTTTAGTAATCAAGACCATGTGGTACTAGTATAAGGTTAATCAAATATATCAATGAAACGAGTCCAAAAATAGACCAACAAATGATTTTCAAGAGAGACTCTGACATAAATCAATGAGAAAAGGAAAATATTTTCAACAGATAGTGCTGGAACAACTGGATATACAGACAGAAATAAAGGCATTTGGAATACATTTTGTGTAATAATTAGGGAACTGCATTATAACTAGTGTTCTTAAGATAATACTTACATTTTTTATTTTGATGTTTCCCCAATCATCATCCTGTTTTAAAGATAAATAATAAACATTTAACCACCCCCATATAATCCAAACATAATCTAAAAATCAACTAATTTTAGATTTCTACTCCAAAATAGAAATTGTCTATATGCAGATTTTACTTAAAATTACTGTAATCAAAAGTATTTTTTAAAAAACAAAAAACAAACGCAGTCCTAAAACTAGTAAGTCTAACAATTGTTCAAACTACGTAAGATACAATCTAAAAGGCAGTAAACTTGGCAGCACCAAAAGTACTGAAACACTTGACTGATGACAGATGCTAATTTTTTGCATATCTGGAACCAGCAGAGCTAATAACTAGCATATGTTTGACAAGAATAAAGAATAACTTCAAAAATGAAATAAGGTCTACATAATTAGGGTGATTATATAATTAGTCACCCAAATCAAGAGACTCTTGAGAATGAAAGTGCTACTAAAAATTATACCTGGAGAGTAAACAAGACTACCCAAGGCAAACTAACCCTTAATAGTATTTGCTGCATCCACAAATGTTTCTCAAGTCCTACATTTCACATCTATGCATCAATTAACACATACTTTGACTTCAGTACGTTCAATTTAAATCAAGTTTTTTTTGAAATGCCATGATTGGTCCACAGATATTTTGGCAGCTAAAAGCCCTTCCCTTCAGGGGATACTCAGTTCCATATCACTCCTTCCTTTTTACCGAAGGTACCAGGCACTCAATACACCTCCCTTTGGTGGTGCCACTATTTCTTTTTGGGCATCCTGCTTCAAAGTAGAACAGTAAGTTTCTAAATGCCCTTCTCAGTTTAAGGGCTATTACTGCTAATCATAAGGAATGATAATTATAAATGTCTCCTCAAATAATGCCTCCTCCTACTTATCCAAGGTCACACAAAGCTGGGAAATGAACCCAGATCTGCTCGACTTGTAAATCACATGTTCTTTTGGTGCCTTACTATATGTTACTTAAGCCTCTCTGATGCTCAGTAAAATATGTAAAATACATTTACTTTCCTCATTTTTAATATACATACAGTTGACAATTAAAGAAAACAAAAGCCTGGCACAGAGTAAGTATTCAGTAAGTGGTAGCTATTAGTCATAGTTTCATTTAATTAGCATTTTTCTGTAATTCTCCACAGTATACCACCAGTACACAGTTCAGCACAAATTACATTACCAAGTTCACTAATGACCAAAAGCTCATACTGCAACTTGAGGGGAAACAATGTTTCTTCACCAATACCTGTTTTAAGGCCCAGCTAACAGGGGTAGCCAATCCTTATCTCTAAAGTTAATTAGAGCTCTTTAGCATTTCACATCTAACTCTTGAAGAAAGTGTATTTTAAAAACTATACTTATGGGCTTCCCTGGTGGCGCAGTGGTTGGGAGTTCGCCTGCCAATGCAGGGGACACGGGTTCGTGCCCCGGTCCGGGAAGATCCCACGTGCCGTGGAGCGGCTGGGACCGTGAGCCGTGGCCGCTGGGCCTGCGCGTCCGGAGCCTGTGCTCCGCAGCGGGAGAGGCCACGGCAGTGAGAGGCCCGCGTACCACACACAAAAAAACTTATATAGTATTACAAACGATAATAAAGAAAATACCTTCACATCTTTTCTGTGGCCCTTCATCAATGATACTGGTAAGCTTGGACTCTTAACTGTAATCAATGTGATCATTCCAAGGGAACTAATGGAAAACTTAAATTCCCTCTCTTTTAAACAAAAATTTCTTTCCTCCCATCTCCAGGCAGATGTTAGATAGTGATTACTTCTAAGAGAAAGGGGCTCCTTTTAATGGTAGGATGCAAGAAAGGCCAAAGGAAAAATTAAGTTTTCCAGTATTCCAGAACCAGGGCCTTAGTAAATTTGGTACATTCGCATGTATATACAAAAACACATTGTGTAGTAGCCTTTAAAAAATAAATTTACCATACTGTTCCACATTTTTAACAGAGATAAAATTTCTAACCCCATAACTGAAAATTACTAAGGAAAAACAAATAGACTTTTTTAGTCTATACAAAATGAAATACTTTTAACACACATTCATAAGAAAAAAATTCAAACACAGATAAATGGAAAGTGCCCCAGTCCCCTGACCCCCAGAGATAATCACTGATAAAATGCATTTTAAAATCAAAATTTTAATGATGCTTTATAATATAGTGTTTTGAAATGGCTACAATGTTCCTTCCTTAAACTAACATGAATAAGAGTTTTAATACCATAGACTATATACTCTCACCAAATAAAAAATACCTTAAATGCAACATTTTCTGGTGCTAGTTATTTTCACTAGTACATAATGAAAATCTGGACTAAATTTTACCTTCAGTGTTCCCCCTTTCACCATAACCTTCTGTCTGGCCGGCTGGACTCCAGTCAGTGCAAAAAGCTGAGCCTTGAACACCATCGGAGGTTCATCAGTATTCAGTTCTACACCTTCAAATTTCTCCTTTCCCCATTTCACAGTAACTGCAAACAAACCATAATTTTTTTTTAATTTACAAAATAACAAGACTTAAGATTTAGAAGATCCTTAAGGAACTATTAGGCTAGTTCTTAAAAGCCAAACTATGTCATTAATCTTTTTACACACCTAAGGCCTACCAAATCAGGAGTGAAGTGAATGCAATAGATCTTGGATAAAATTTAACTGGATCTAATCCAACTTCTCATTTGATAAATACGGAAATTGAGACTTAAAAGAAGCTCATTGATTAATGTCACAAAACCAGTCAGTAAATATACAGAGCTTCTAAATCCTACTCCAATAATATCTGCAAAATATGACCACACTGAAACACTTCCCAGAATAAAGTTCACAGACTTCAGAATGTGTTTATTTAAACAATCATTAAAATCAGTTGAATATTACATACTGCTGAAATAGAGAGGGGAAGAAAGGCTAGAGTATTTTGAGAAGAAAAAAAATTCTTGGGAAAATAAAGCACACTGAAAACAGGTTAAGGAATATAGATCCTGGATTATAAGAAGAAAGGTGTAGAAGAACTGAAAGGTCTGCCTCCTGAGCAAGAGGTGGTCAAATATTAAGAAGAATCCAAAAATATAGCTAAATTATTAAAAATTATAGAAATCCTACTTCACAGCCATTCAGATGGCTACAACAACAAAACCACAGAAGATAACAAGTGTTGGCAGGGATGTGGGGAAATTGGAACGCTTGTGCATTGCTCTGGGAATATAAAAATGGTACCGCCACTGTGACAGAAAGTATGGTGGTTCCTCAAAACTCAGGCATAGAATTACTACTATGTGATCCAGCAATTCCATTTCTAGGTATATACCCAAAAGTATGGCAACCAGGGAATCAAACTGATATTTGTATACCCATGTTCCTAGCAGCATTATTTCACAATAGCCTAGAAATGGGAGCAACCCAAGTGCCCATCAACAGTGGTATATACATACAATGGACATTAATCAGCCTTAAAAAAATAATGAAATTCTGACACATTCTACCACATGGATGAACCTTGGAGACATTATGCTAAGTGACACAAGCCAGTCACAAAAGGACAAATACTGTATGATTCTACTTATGTGAGGTACCTAGAGTGGTCAAATTCCTAGAGACAGAAAGAAGAATGGGGGTTGCCTGGTGGCTGGGGGAAATGGAAACAGGGGTACAGAGTTTCATTTTAGGAACAGGAAGAATTTCTAGAGGTGGGTGGTGATGACGGCTGCACAGCGATGTGAATGTACTCAATGTTAAAAACTGTGCACTTAAAACTGTTTAAAACTACACTTTATGTTACATATATTTTACCACAATAAAAAAATTTCAATCTTATAAAATAGCTAACTTTTGAAATATGTTAACATAAACAAACTAGGGAATTTCCTGGCGGTCCAGTGGTTAGGACTCCATGCTTTCACTGCCCAGGGCCCGGTTTCAATCCCTGGTCAGGGAACTAAGATCCCACAAGCCATACAGCACAGCCAAAAATAAATAAATAAACAAACAAACAAACTCACTCACTCAAGGATGTACATAGTTTTTTCCACTGAAAACTTTATACCTACTCAAAATGAGAATCCCATAATAGTTGTCTAATTTCTCTGATTACTAAAATCAGAATATAAAAAAGTGACCCTGACTCCAAATCCCTATTCTTTCACTAGTTCAATTAACGTGTTAGTGTTCATTCAATGATAAGCCCAGTAACAAGGATTAGGGAGACTCTCTGTGAACTCACAGTTTAATAAAGGAGAGAGGGAAAAAGGTTAAAATAATTAACAATACAATATAAATATTACAAATGCTAGAGTAGCACAGTGGAATGCTTCACGAGGGAGGAAGGATTCTCTGGAGAAAGTGTTAACTGTGAGTTACCACTATCAACTTTGAGTCTCAAAGAAAAAATCAGGTGTTAGCCAGAGAATAAGAATAAAAGCATTCTTGGAAAAGACACTCAAAAGCATAAAGCAGCATAGTGTCCTCTGAGATACAAGTAATTCCCAGAGTGAAGGGGAAGCAGCTGAAAAAGGAGAAACTGACCAAAGATCAAGTCAGGGAAGATAACATAAGTCATGTTAAAACATACAGGCTTTAGGTTGTACAAAATGTGCAGTCCCTGAAAGGTTTTCATAAAGGCCACTTTGGTCTGGTTTGACCATTAGAACACTCTAGCAGCAGCAGAGAAAATACTGGTTTGAAGGGGGAACGACTACAATCATTGAGACAAACCAGAAACATATAACAATAATACAAACAAAAGAGAGAGGACTAAATCAAAACTGTATTAGAAATAATGAAGACGAATCTATCTGAAATTTATTTAGCTGTGTCACCATGGGCAAGTTAAACTTTTTGCTTACCCATAAACCAGGGGTTCCCAACCCCAGGGCCACGGACCATACCACACCATGGCCTGTTAGGAACCGGGCCGCACAGCAGGAGGTGAGCAGCAGGCGAGGGAAAGAAGCTTCTTCTGTATTTACAGCCGCTCCCCACGGCTTGCGTTACCGCCTGAGCTCCACCTCCTGTCAGATCAGTGGCAGCATTAGATTCTCATAGGAGCACAAACCCTACAGTGAACTGCACATGTGAGGGATCTAGGCTGCACGCTCATTATGAGAATCTAATGCCTGATGATCTGAGGTGGAGCTGAGGCAGTGATGCTACCGCTGGGGAGCGGCTGCAAATACAGATTATCATTAGCAGACAGATCTGAATGCAGAGAGACCATAATAAATCAACTGCTTGCAGACTCATATCAAAACCCTATCAGTGAGTGGGAAGTGAAAACAAGCTCAGGGCTCCCACTGATTCTGCATTATGGAGAGTTGTATAATTATTTCATTATATATTACAATGTAGTAATAATAGAAATAAAGTGCACAATAAATGTAATGTGCTTGAATCATCCCGAAACCATTTCCCCCCAACCCCTCCCCGGGACTGTGGAAAAACTGTCTTCCACGACTGGTCTCTGGTGCCAAAAAGGTTGAGGACCGCTGCCATAAAGGAGAATTATACTAGTACCACGGGACTATGTTGAAAATTAAAACAAAGCAACATGTATAAAAAACATTAGCTTTGGGCTTCCCTGGTGGTGCAGTGGTTGAGAGTCCGCCTGCCGATGCAGGGGACACAGGTTCGTGCCCCAGTCCGGGAAGATCCCACATGCCGCGGAGTGGCTGGGCCCGTGAGCCATGGCCGCTGAGCCTGCACGTCCGGAGCTTGTGCTCCGCAACGGGAGAGGCCACAACAGTGAGAGGCCCTCGTACCGCAAAAAAAACAAAACAAAACAAAACAAACAAACAAAAAAAACATTAGCTTTGTACCAGACAAAAAAGTGTTCACTAATTTTTACAGCACTTCTTCTTAAACACGTAAGTGTCTGGACGTTTAATTTTGTATCAAAACTTATGACAGTACTTAAGATGTTCTTGTTTTAATACAGGGCTTTTTGCAGAATCTGAAAATACAGATTCTCAATATGGAGATGTCAAAGGAAGAAACCTTAGAAATCTACTTCAATTCCCTCATTTTGGAAATGAGGAAAAGATCTGATTAAATATTTAAGATGGAACTCAATTTCTAAGATAGAAAGTTTGCTGAGTACAGGCATTTTTTGAGGGGAACAAACTACCTGTGTGTGTTTAAGTATTAGCATACACAGGTATTTACCGCCACTACTTAATTAATGCCACTTAAATTCTATACTGCATAAACAGAATATTTCAAGTACCATTCTACTGTTCCATTGTTGTGGCCTTAGAAAAAGAGGTTGAGCAATCATCATTAAAGCATTTGGGGACACACAGTTTTGAGGGCATTAGCCTGCTGTGGCCCCCTTTGCCTGGCAAAGCAATAAAGCTATTCTTTTATACTTCACCCAAAAAAACAAACAAAAAATCATTATTAAAGCATTCAAGATTCTAGAACATCAAGAATCCATGTCGAGTTTAAACATTATTCTTTTGTTTGATGTCATTCTTTGAAAACGCTGAATCTTCAATAAAGGAATTATGATAGAGTGTCAAGGATGGCCAATGAATCACACATCCATAGCCAACTGAAGCCACCACATACACTTTAGGGGCCATTTTGAATTACACTAGGAGACAGCAAGGTCCATTAACTCAGTAAAAACATGATCCCTGGCCAACCCCTTGGACTGCCATCACGCAAAAAAACCCTGTCAAACGCCAATCAAAAGGAAATGATACCCGCGACCATTTGTATTCCTTTACCTCTCAAAGCTAACACTGTGCTTCGGACGCAGAAACACAAAACAGTGTTTGATGAAATGAAAATGAAGCAAAAAGCTCGCAATCTGCCTCGGGATAAAAATGAAATTGGTACAAACGGGGTGGTGGCAGCAAGGGGTAAGCGAAGGGAGGCTATGGAGGGAAACCCCCAGAACGAGAAAGGAAGGAAGGCTTAACCTCACATCTCTGGTCCCTCCATCACTCCCTTACCGAGGCTTCCCCTCCTGGCCGCTCCCTTCCACGGCTACGGCTACCCCTGAAGAGGTTCAGGAAATGCCACTGCACCTCCAGCCTGGTCCCTGCTGCCCCGGGACACCACCTCACCCTACCCCGCACGCGAGGACAGAGACAGAACTATTCTGCAGAGTCACCACTCAGAGGGGCGGACGTTCGCTGCTTCCCCACCTCCCCTCCGGCTCCCACCCCACGCACCCGGCGGCCCAGGAGGGGCACGGCTCCCTCGCGTTGCAGGGCCCGGAACTCGCAGGGAGAGAGAAAGGGGCCAGGGTCCCCTCCACGCCGCGGAATCCCCGCCCCGTGCTCAGCGGGGCACCCGCCCTGCAGGCCAGGCCTACACAGAGGCCTAGCCCCGGGCGGGACTGCGGAGCACAAGATGAGGAGCGCGCTCACCGGAGTAGAGCGGCATGGCAGGGCGCGCTAGGAGGCGGCGGCGGCGCAGGAAGGCTGGGCCTGGCAAGAGCGGCGAAAGGAAAGGGCCGCAAAGAAGCTGTGGCGGCGGCCGAGGCGGAGGCGCGGTAGTGGCGGCAGACACGGTGCGACAAGAGCCTCATTCAAACCGGCCACTGGCGATGACGCAGCAACACGCCGTCCGCCGGCCGAGCCACGGGGCGACTGAGGGGAGGAAGCGAGGCGGGGCCTGCGGGTGGAGAGACAAGGGAGGTGGGAACGGCCGGGTGCCCGGGGCCCCTGCGCTTCACAGGTGTGCGCCTGCGCACTGCACCCCGTCTGCGCCCACCGGCTCCCAGCCCCGCCCCGCCCCGCCCGGCTGCAGACATAGCGGGAACCTAGTGTCCCCGCCGCAGCCTCTTAGGAGGTTGTTCACCCGTTTCCAAACGGTGGGGCAGTACGAGCTGGGGTTTTATTCTCTCTGTTAATGTAGGCTGGAGAAGAGCCTTGCTCCGCCCCTCAACTTGGTCTACTTATTAATAAAAATGTCTAGGCCTCCCATTCAGGATTTTGCAACAAAAATAAACATCAAAATGATCTGAATATTTCAGAGATAGGTCTGTCTTGGTTGTAATGTATTACTGCTGTTTCTAACACCTGTTCGGACCCTAGGTTGGCTCTAGTAAAGGAGTAGATAACAGCGCCCTTGACTGCCCCATGGAAGTTACGTGCAGCCCTCCACTTAATTGTTTTGGACCTGTTTCCTCAGCCTGGTAAATGAGGAAGATAGACTGGAAGGTTTCTGAGGCCTTTTTCAAACTCTAAATTGTCACGGCTGACATCAGTTTAAAACTTTCTAGATGAGTTAGAAAGGAAATAGAATCTGTAAATGAACGAAGGAATTCCGAAAACGTGGAAATTAAAATTGAGGTGCTTTCTTGCCTAATATAGAGGTTTTATAATGATCACCTATACTGCAAACGAGGAGTTGAAACTGTCCCTATTTCAAAATTAAACTGTCCATATTTTAAAACAGTGCAGCCCATAGGAGAGTGAGTTTTATCAGTCTACATCAGGAGTCTTACTCACCCTTCACTACTTCATTATTCAAGGCCTATCATAAAAATATGATCCAAAATGTGACCAAAATAACACAAAGATACGCAGAACGTTATTTAAAGTAATGTGTAATATTAAGTGGAAAGAGTATATTGGATTTATTGAGTATATCGGATTTATGCAGTACATAAAACCATTGTTCATAGATTCAGACTTCTTAAAAAAATTTTAACATCTTTATTAGAGTATAAGTGCTTTACAATCGTGTGTCAGTTTCTGCTTTACAACAAAGTGAATCAGTTATGCATATACATATGTCCCCATATCTCTTCCCTCTTGCATCTCCCTCCCTCCCACCCTCCCTGTCCCACCCCAGACTTCTTTTTTTAATTGAAGTATAGTTGATTTAAAAGTTGTGTTAGGGACTTCCCTGGTGGCGCAGTGGTTAAGAATCTGCCTGACAGTGCAGGGAACGTGGGTTCGATTCTTGTTGTGGGAAGATCCCACATGCCGCAGAGCAACTAAGCCAGTGTGCCACAACTACTGAGCCCACATGCCTAGAGCCTGTGCTCCGCAACAAAGAGAAGCCACCACAGTGAGAAGCCTGCGCACTGCAACAAAGAGTAGCCCCCGCTCGCCACAACTAGAGAAAGACCGCGCGCAGCAGGGAAGACCCAACACAGCCAAAAATAAATAAATAAATATTAAAAAATAAAAGTTGTGTTAGTTTCAGGTGTACAGAAAAGTGATTCTATATATTCTATATATATATTAGAATATATATATATACTTTTTCAGATTCTTTTCCAGTGTAGATTACAAGGTATTGAATATACTTCTCTGTACTATACAGTGAGTCCTTGTTGTTTATTTTATGAATAGTAGTATCTGTTCATCTCAAACTCTTAATTTTTCCCTCCCCCCACTTTCCCCTTTGGTAACCATTATTTGTTTTCTATGTCTGAGTCTATTTCTGTTTTGTAAATAAGTTCACTTGTATCATTTTTAAAGATTCCACTTATAAATGATATCATATGATATTTGTCTTTCTCTGACTTACTTCACTTAGTATAATAATCTCTAGGTTCATCCATGTTGCTGCAAATGGCATTATTTCATTCTATTTTATGGCTGAGTAGTATTCCATTGTATATGTATACCACATCTTCTTTATCCATTCATCCGTTGATGGATATATAGGTTGCTACCATGTCTTGGCTATTGTAAATAGTGCTGCTATGAACATGGTGCATGTATTATCTTTTTCTCCAGATATATGCCCAGGAGTGGGATTGCATGATCATACAGTAAGTCTATTTTTAGCTTTTTAAGGAACCTCCATACTGTTCTCCATAGACTGCACCAATTTACACTGCCATCAACAGTGCAGGAGGGTTCTCTTTTCTTTACACCCTCTTTAGCATTTATTATTTGCAGAATTTTTGATGATGGCCATTCTGAGCATCATGAGGGAATACCTCATTACAGTTTTGATTTGCATTTCTCTAATAATTAGTGATGTTGAGCATCTTTTCATGTGCCTGTTGGCCATCTGTATGTCTTCTTTGGAGAAATGTCTATTTAGGTCTTTTGCCCATTTTTTGATTGAGTTGTATTTTTGGTATTGAGCTGTATGCGCTGTTTGTGTATTTTGGAAATTAATCCCTTGTCGGTAACATCATTTGCAAATATTTTCTCCCATTCTGTAGGTTTTCTTTGTGGTTTGTTTGTGGTTTCCTTTGCTGTGCAAAAGCTTTTAAGCTTAATTAGGTCTCATTTATTTCCATTACTCTAGGAGACAGATCCAAAAAACTATTGCTGCAATTTATGTCAAAGAGCATTCTGCCTATGCCTTCCTTTAGGAGTTTTATAGTATCTGGTGATTTTAAAAAGCAATTTTTTTTAACTTTTTCTTTCTGATATTTCATTGTTAGTGTAAAGAAATGCAAAAGATTCCTGTATGTTAATCTTCTATCCTGCTACCTTGCTGAATTCATTTATCATTTCTAATAGTTTTTGTGTGGAATCTTTAGGGTTTTCTGTATAGAGTATCATGTCACCTGCATATAATGACAATTTTACCTCTCTCTTTCTATTGGATGCCTTTTATTTCTTTTTCTTCTCGGTTTGCTGTGGCTAGGATTTCCAATACTATGTTGAATAGAAGTGGTGAGAGTAGGCACCCTTGTCTTGTCCCAGAATTTAGCAGGAAGGCTTTCAGCTTTTCACCGTTGAGTATTTTGTTGGCTGTGAGTTTGTCATAAATTGCTTCTATTATGCTAAGATTTGTTCCCTCTATACCAAATTTGGTGAGTTTTTAATCATGAATGGATGTTGAATTTTTATCAAATGCTTTTTCTGCATCTATTGAGATGATCATGTGGTTTTTGTATTTTCTTTTGTTGATGTGCTGTAACTCATTGATTGATTTGTGTATACTGAACCATCCCTGTGACCCTGGGATGAATCCAGCTTGATTGGGGGTATGACCCTTTCCATGTGTTGTTGGATTTGGTTTGTGATTCAGACTTGTTTTGAATCTCATTACTAGCTGTGTAACCTCTGAGCCTCAGTTCCCTGATCTATAAAATGGAGATAAAATGTCTACATTATAGGATTGTTGCGAGGATGAAATAAGATCCTGTATAGAAGATACTTAGCACAGGGCATTGCACATAGTGTACAATAAATGATAGCTATTTCAGATTACACAATAAAAACTTGAGAGGGGGTCTTCCCTGGTGGCACAGTGGTTGGGAGTCCGCCTGCCGATGCAGGGGACACGGGTTCG